CGCTCCAAATCAGAAAATACTTGATTTTCAGCTTGTCATATTTTGCTGCTTGGTCATAGTATCCATATAAATTGGGCATCATACGACAGTCCATTCCTCGGTCCACTCAACGATAGCTTAATTCGTTTAATCCATTGATACTGGACGGAGAAATCGAGTTTTTCCCCAAAACACCCATTTTTTGCATTTTTTTCGAAATATCAGACATTATTTCGACTACTTTCGGTTTCCGGACCGTTGTTGAAATTGCTTTATCAAGTGGTCTGACTATATAGCTTTACGTTCCAGGACTTTTAGAAATATCGATTTATCCTTTCCAAAAAATAAAAGGGTTGGGAAATGGGCAGAAAATTCGAAAAAAATCGAAAAATTATGGCCCCTGACTCCGAATGAAACTTATATTGCTGGAATCGGATGGTCTTCAGGTATCCAAAAATGTAGGTCAAATTTGAAAATTTTGAAAAATAACAAAAATTGTCTCTTAAACAACATTTTTCATTTTTCGAACGCTAGAAGTCAGCGACAAAGTTTTGAAATTTCGAAATTTTCAACTGCTATCATCCGAGAAAAGGGTTTATGAAAATGTCATTTGTATGAAAATAGGTACAGAATTGACGAAGCTACGGCCGTTTTTTAATTTTTATGCACCACACGAAATTCGGCCACTTCTGGTCTGCGAAGAAAAAAAAAATTAATAATAATAATTTTAGTAATCTCAATAGGCTTTCAGACGAAAGTCTGAAAGCCTAATAATTTTAGTAAAAACAATAGTCTTTCAGACAAAAGTCTGAAAGCCTAATAATAATAATAATAATAATTTTAGTAAAAACAATAGTCTTTCGGACAAAAGTCTGAAAGCCTAATAATAATAATTTTAGTAAAAACAATAGTCTTTCAGACAAAAGTCTGAAAGCCTAATAATAATTTTAGTAATCACAATAGGCTTTCAGACAAAAGTCTGAAAGCCTAATAATAATAATTTTAGTAAAAACAATAGTCTTTAAAAGAAACAATTCTGTGAAATCTATATGACCGTATGAATTTTATTAATATGTGAATGTAAACCAAAAGTTAAAATTATTAATACATATTAAATAATTATTGGTTGAAAAAAATATTGATTTTAAAAGTTAAAAATCCATTTTTTGACAAAATGGCGTCACTTCCTGTGTCAATGTTAAATTGTAATCAATTTGATACGACACATACTTGCTTTTTGAATCAAATGGTGTCAATTTTGTGAAAATCCAGTAATAATTGACTATTTTACAGGCAAAATAACGAAAACAGTGACTTATGCAAAATTGCCCATTTTTAGGTAACTGCTTATATTACAAACTAATTTTAACACACATTTTCTTCGCATGGATTAAATCTACAAGTTTATAAAAGTTATGTAGAAATATTTTAATATCTGAAAAGCCTGAATGGGTTGTAAATAGGTCAATTTTACACCTTTTTTCACCTCTTAATCGAATTTGCTTGAAAATGAAATCGAAATTAAAAAAAACGAGCCCAACATTTTGTGCGCCTTTAAAGGGCACACTCTTTTAGCTATATCAGTTTTTTAAAAAAATAATATTTGCTTTCGAAAAATGGTACCTAACTGTTAAAATTGTAGTTTTTGGTAAAATGAAGCCACTTCCGGTGCCGACAGATATCTCTATCGGTAAGAAAAAAAATGACAATTGAGACAACGGAGTATATGAACTTTGTTTTATACAAATTGAGCAATAAATAATTAATCTTGGACTGAAAAACTGAATTGGCCAATGGCGGCCAAGGAAAATTACTGAGAAGCTTAATAACTAGATCTGCTACTGTCCCATGCAGATATGAAAGCTTTCACATTCATCGTCACGTGTCATGGATTATATCAAGTATCTTAAAAGAAAAAAGAACAAAAAGAAATAATTATCAATATCGGTCAAAAGCTAGCAAAGTTACAAGTCTAAATATAGTGAGAAACATTGCACCCGGGCAAAAAAATAATCTGAAACTAAAGGGAAATATAACTGAAACTTGCATTGCTGTAACCGGAATGACTTCCAGTTTCAGAAAAATGGATCAAGCCATTTAAAAACTTTACAGATGAGAAAATGAAATGAAAATGGCAGGATAGAACTAAAAAAAGGCAGGAAAATATCGAAAAATATATATGAGATCACTTTGAATGGAAGTAATACTTTTGAATCAGATTGACCTCAGCTGTTCGAATATTTAGGTTAAATTTGTAAATTTTGAAAATTAAAGACATAAATTGTCCTGTAAACAACTTTGTAGGCGAAATTCGAAAATTTGAAATTTTCAAACACAAAAAATTCGACCCTGATCCCTGCTATCCCGGCTTTTCACGAAAATCGTACTAATATTCAAAAAGTTGTCATGTTCGTTTTACTTCCGGGATGAGATGTCAATGACGTAATAATCGAATTTCGAAAATCCGAAATAGCAGATTTAAATAAAGTAAATGTTTTAAGGTACTCAAAGAAAAAAGAATTAGTAAAATAGATAAAAAAGTCTCAAAGTTACAGCTATGTAGGTCAATTTTACCATCAGTAAATTTCGTAAAACGTTTTGAAAATCTATTAATTCCAAAGTCACTGCCCATTCTTGGAAGGATGCTAACCAGAAATGTACTAATGTCCCAAACAGGAGACGAATTCACGAAACACCGGCCAATTTTGATTATTTTCAAGCTTTTAATGGAAATTTTTCACTCGAAAACAACTTTGTCGGCACGAAAAACGTTAAAGGCGAAATTAAAAATTTTGAAACATTCAAATACAGGGGGGGGGGGAAGGAGGGTAGGTCAAACTTTCTAAAGTTTCTGAAAGATCCTAAGGTTAGATTCTAAAATATAAGATTTGCAGGAAAAGAACAAAAAAAAAAAAATAATAATCTTAACAGAAACAATAAGCTTTCATATGAAATATGAAAGCTTAACCAGATCTGCATAGCAGATATAAAAGCTTTCATATTTAAATGTATGTAAAATATTGCAAAAGTCTTAGGGATTTATCAGGTTTCAACATATTATGCGTACGCATCAGCAGTGCATTACCTAGTATAGAAATAAATTTTCAAGGCAATCTGACCTACTTTTTGGGGGAATTTTAATTTCTCGAAGGGCACATAAGTTAGAAAATTTTTACTACATCGTTGAAGTTGGATCGACGAGGCCTACTTACATGCCAAGTTTCATGAAAATCGTGATAATATCAAAGAAGGTGTCAAGTTGGATTTTACTTTTATTTGGACCCTCATCCTGGCTATCCAGAAATGTATTAATTTTGGAAATAGGAGACATATTCTCCAAACTACGCCTATTGTGTTCATTTTCATGTCCGTTAACATGGATTTTTCACTTTTTCTCATATTCAGTTCAAAATGGTGACTGTCAGTTGACCGAGCCACGCCCAATTTTTGCCTTTGCCGAAGGTCACAATTCTGAATGGATTATCTTGGAACTTGGTATACTTATTCCTTATACCCTAAGGATGGCAACTATTGACGTTGGTGCACGACCCCCTCCTCCACAAACACACCCCACCCCCTGCCCTTTCGGCGGTGCCACACCCACATTCTGTAAATGATATACAGGTTGCAATTATTAACAGATTTGGATCCAATTCGGAATGATCCAGCATAGGGTTGTACCTATATATATTGGTCTATATCCAACCCCCAGGGGTAGAGCCATGCCCAATTTTTGTGTTTTTTGTCTACAGACTGGAATTCTAAATGGATCATCTTGGAACTTGGCATATTTATTCCTTATACTGTAAGGACAGCAACTATTTATTTTGGTGCATGTCCCGAACCCCAGGGGTGTGGTACCACACCCACTTTTTTGTTAGTTTTTATCGGTAAATACTCTACAGGTTGCAATAATTAACAGATTTTGTTCAAATTCAGCATATCAAACATTTCAATAACAGGTTGGTACCTATTTATATTGTTCCATATCCAACCACCAGGGGCAGAGCCACGCCCAATTTTTGTATTTATCATCTACTGGCTGCAATTCTGAATCGATCATCTTGGAACTTTGCGTATTTATACCTTATATCATAAAGACAGCAACTATTTATTTTTGTGCATGCCCCGAACCCTTGGGGCAGTGACACACCCACTTTTTTGTTAATATTTTGTCTGTAAATTTGGCAAAACAAACCCAACGCCTAGCTTTCTATGCCTCTTGTCATATTATAGCCACTTCATATTTCATTTTCTTCATTTTAAAAAAATACCATATCAATCAAAGCAGGAATGTGAACGTATATTGCATGCGTGACATTTATTTTATATAACTGCACTGACAGTCGGGTCCATGAAGTAGTGTTCAGCCAATGTTATGCGGATAAGAACATCCCACCAGTAGGACTGGTGGTATTAATGGTCGCAGTCATCTTCTCCTATGTTCATGTATGGAGCCACGGTGGCTAAGTGGGTAAGATGTTGGCTCGCTAGCGTGGAGGTTACGGGTTTGCTCTTGGTGTTGACTGTGAAAGTTCATCAGGGTTTTTCTGCGAGGTTTCCCCCCTTGTCAGTGGTGCAGGATGCAAGGCCTGACAAGACAGCTGTCTAGTTGTTCGCCTGGTATGAAAAACCGAGGTCCTATGTACACATTGCCGTGCATGTAAAATATCCCATTGGCAGTTGGAATTCGATATAAGAAAAGGCCTTAGCGCCGCTGTCAGGGCAAAATTTCCCTCATAGCACACTGTATGGTGTATGCACATCTTCATTAGCCCAGTTGGAGCAAAACAGTGGGTTGGAAAATTCATATGGAGCCCTAATCGAAATATATGGCACATAGCCAGGTTGGATTATTTGAACAAGTTGAAAAGTGAAACACCCTATTGTGTAACTTGTACATCTAACTAGATATCATTTATAGTATTTACTGTTTATATTAATTGTTCTGTTATGTTGGCATGTTTGCTTCTTATCTCACAGATTAGTAGTTTTGGATTAATAAATTGTTATTTGTATAGGTAATATGACCATTGGTGATCTAGTGATGGTGAACAGTTTACTCTTTCAACTTTCTTTACCCTTAAATTTCCTTGGATCAGTTTACCGTGAAGTTAGACAATCTCTTATAGACATGCAAACTATGTTTGGTCTGTTAAATTTATCATCTAAAGTACAGGTTTGTTATACTTTTATATTTACTAACATTTTGAAGAAAATCATATAATCAAAATGGTTTGATTTTATAGAAAGATGAATATCAAGTAGATTTCAATTTATCATCAACAAAAATAAATGGCACTTACCTTTGTCATCAACACCATAGATTTTCATAGAATCTTGGAAATATCGGTGAACTCATTGAAAACATTCATGTGAATCATTGTCGTTGTTCGATACGATGCCAGAGGAATAACTGTAGCGTCCAACGGTTGTATCCACTCTAAAATGGGCCCCTCTATCACAATGACTCACTAGTGGAACCTCGGCTACTGATCTGATATCCAGGGAGGGGTTTTTCTAAGCTCGCCTGGGATCACAACTCTCTTCGGTTAGTAATGGGTAAGTGTCAGCTAAAGAGTGACTATAAGGAATCCCTTCCCAATTTTGACCGGGATCTCCAATAATAATTGAATGAAATACGACTGCAATGTCGCCTTGCACAATGTCTCCCCTTACTCAATAACACAAACAACAAAATAGATATTCATATAAAAATAAATATATATTGTCCTCTGGTAAAGATCAAATTACAAAATATAACACAATAATGATAATGATAATAATGATATAAATATCAAACCACTTTCAGGCGAAACCCAAATTATGGTCGACACACAACCACATGTGTACACGGTCAGTAATGAAATATGAAATCTGGTAAACTGACACACACGTAATAATGAAACAATAAAATGATCTCTAATATAATAACACTAGAGGTAGTAAAACACTATTAAACAATATAACTTAGCACCGAACACTCGGAGGGAATCACTGAATCACAAAAGAACACAAAAAGGAACCTTCAGACATCCACTCACGTTCTAATACTGCTAATTATAAAAATTATTAGTTGAGCTCTTAATCAAAGATCTATCGAAAGTGCGCTGTGTGACAGCTTATATACAACATACAATCTCGTAAAATAACGGGCAACGAGAACTCCCGTAATACCTTGCAAATACGCCTACTCGCGAACGTCACGTTCCTCCGCGAGACTTACGTATATTTATAAATAAATCGAAAGTAGAATAACATCAACATCGAGATCACCGGATAAATTAAGTACATGCATTTAAATTATGGATGGACAAATGAATATATATTAAAAGGAAAATGTGACGAAAGACGAGGGAATGTGGGTGGATACGGATAAATCTTCCGCATAAACGGTAAGCGATGAAATAAAAACCGTCACATAACGAAACGATGTATATCTATAATTTTAATGGAAATTCACATCTTGTACAATTAATGATGTAAATAAACGATGTCAATCAAAACAACGATGTAAGGCAAACAGCCATTTTCCCCCGAACTCTTCACGACCTCTAGCGGACACTAAAGGAACTAAAAGCTATTCAGAGTTACCTCCAATTAACTACTTTGGATAATATAATTACTATGACTATCTTATTTCGAACATATCCCCCTCCTTGATGTGTTTCCCAATAAACATCAACAAAATAACCTACAATAGAAAGTGATCTACAATACACTGGCACTAGAAACTATAACAATGATCTACACTAAAGAGCATTTTGAAACTATTTACGATTTAACTACCAGTATATGAAATAAATGTCTATAATAACTAGCAATGTCTTTTTATCAAACTGTCTCTATTTCCGATAATGTTACGATTTCGATGTCTATTTAACGAGACAATTAACTATTATACGATGTCTACACAACTAGTATACAATGTCTATGCCTCTAAATGACACAATCTGTGAATAGGCCTTTTAAATACCGACTGACCTACTTGAATCTCAACGACTCGAACATGACCGTCACTGCCTGGAAATGTTCTAATGACTCTGCCTAAAGGCCACTTTCCACGAGGGTTAAATTTCAAATAATCGACAGATTCAGGTGCTAACTGTCCACTACATTGTCCAAACAAAAAATAGTTAGGCGTGAGAACTGGATCATCGGGACTATCACTAACATAGCATAATGGGCGCGAATTTAACAAGCCTTCAGTGTGTATAATTGCTGTCAATAACTCCTCATCAGTTATATCTGCATTTCCTAATATCGAATCTATAGCTTTCTTCGATGTCTTGATAAGGGACTCAAACACTCCACCGAAATGTGGAGCTAGTGGTGGATTAAACTTCCAGTCGATACCTCTATTAGCTAAAGAACTACCAATTTTGTCTTGATCTAAGGCAAGAAACAATTCTCGAAGTTCACGGTTGGCACTTACGAAATTAGTACCGTTATCCGACACTACTTGGATAGGCTTGCCTCTGCGACTAACATACCGATCGAAGGCACAAAGAAAACTGTCGGTGTCTAAACTCCATGACATCTCTAGGTGTACAGCGCGTGACGCTAAGCAGGTAAATAAGCATAAATAACGCTTAGTTCGCACTTTACCACGACCTTGTTTTGTCAGGTACGGTCCTCCATAATCGACTCCAACTCTTGCAAACGCTCTTAAAGGTACACCTAAACGCATTTTAGGCAATGGGGCCATAAGTTGTTCTACTGGTTTTCTTAGTCTCTGACGACACTCTGGACATTTGTATTTGATTTCTTTAATCAATTCACGACCACGAAGAATCCAATACTTCTCTTTTAAACTAGCGAGTGTATGGGAAGTTCCACAACTATGATTTCCTAGTTCATGATAATAATTAACTATTAAGCGAGAAATCTCATGTTTCTTTGGTAGAATAACTGGATTACGACAGTCATACGATAAATGTTCAGCTTTCTGAAGTCGACCATCTACACGAAGAACGTTATTCGAGTCGAGGAATGGCTTGAGTTGCACAAGACTAGATTTACTATCAACCATATTTCCCTTTTCTATACACCTGATCTCATCAGCAAACGAGTCACGTTGAGCATATCTATACCAATAGTTTTCCGATTCCATCAGTTCATCTATCTTGAGAATACTATCTCTACGGCGATCATCAACGGATTTACGGAGATTATTAAAGAATCTAAATACCCACGAAGTAACTCTGACTAAATGAATCCATTTCGAATATCTAACTGGGTTAAGTCGACCTAGATCTGACTTCACTGGAAAAGTAACAAATGCGGAAGACGCGTTTTGACGAATTTCCTCCGAAGCGGCATCTGGAACGATTAAATCTGTTTTCGGCCAACTACACTGTCGTTTAAAAGAAAGTCTGGGCCATGCCACCACAACTTACTATTACTTAGAGCTTCAACCGATATGCCTCTGGTAGCTAAATCCGCGCTATTAGTTTTCGTTGACGTAAACTTCCACTGTTCTGGACTTGAATGACTATGAATTTCTCCTATTCTATGAGCGACGAAAGGTTTGTAAATACGAGACTCATTACGAATCCAATAAAGGACATTCTGACTATCGGACCAATACGTAGCATCTGTCGAGGGCACTGATAAAGTTTCACAAACTGTTTGAGTTAGACTGCTCCTGAAAGTTCTAATTTTGGAATTGATAATGTCTTAAGCGGAGCGACACGCGTTTTAGAAGCAACTATAACTACCGAAATACTATTATTGTCATATTCACATCTTAGATAACAAACAGCGGCATAAGCTTTTTCTGCCGCATCTACGAATGTATGAATCGACCGACTATTAATTACTAAACCATATGTGACAAGGCAACGAGGTATTCGAATTAAGTCCAACTGAATAAGCTCACTAAACCATTTGTTCCAATATGATGATAAGTTGTCTGGTAACTCTGTGTCCCACTCTAAACCTTGAATCCACGCAATCTGGATACCTATTTTTGCACGAATAGTAAATGGGGCTAAAAAGTTCAAAGGATCAAATAGAGTAGCTGTTTTGCTTACGACAATTCTCTTGGTTAAAACTGATTCTGTAGGCTGTTTAACTTCATAAGTAAAATGGTCATTTTCCGCGTCCCAAAGAACCCCTAAAGTTTTCATGGTTGGAAGACTTTCATCATCTAACGATAGTTTAGCGACTCTGTCTTGTACAGGAATATCTGACAGTACTTCGGGTTCATTCGATAACCATTTGCGTATTTCAAAACCTGCTTCTTTTAACAATTCTGTAATCTGATGTCTCAGTTCTATGGCTTTTGGTATTGACGAAACACTATCTAGTAAATCATCCACATACATCGAGTTGAGGATTGATTCTGAAGCTAACGGGAAGGCTTCTTGATTTAAAGTGGCATGATGACGAATAACTGCTTGTGACAGAAATGGGGACGAAGTATTTCCGAATACTAAACGTTGATACTCGAATATCTTGACAGGTGCGCTTTCGTCCAAATTTCTCCCAAAAAATCTGTGATACTTTCTGTCATCTTGGTCTATCCGTATTTGTAAGAACATCTCGGTGATATCTGCAGCTATTGCTATCTGGTTGCTACGGAATCTAATTAAGATATCTAAAAGTTCTGATTGTAACTTTGGGCCTGAATGAATACAATCATTCAAAGATTTACCTTCATATCGAGCGGCTGCGTCCATGACTATTCGAACTTTCGTTGTCTCTTTATTTAGGCGAACTACAGCGAAATGAGGAAGATACCAAGAAGTGCTATCTGAAAGCGATTTAACTTCTGCTGTGTAACCTTTAAGCAAATGATCGTTCATTATTCTTTTATACTCTTCTGCGACTAGAGGACGTTTCTTTAAAGATTTCTCTAAGGTTTTTAATCTGGATTCTGCTAACTCGTAATTATCTTCAAGAATAGGATCATTTTTCTTCCATGGAATCTTAACTTGATAACGATTATCAACCAGTTGCATCGATGTATCTGCACGATCGAGAATCTCTTGTTCTACCGGTGTGGCTTGTTTACTACTGACGACTACACCCATCCCACATCTGACGAAGCAATGTATTAGTGTCAACTTCCAGACTGCTCATTATATTAAATGTCCTAGCATAATGTATACTGCCTTGATTACTATATGATTGTGGACCTAATGCTCCTACACAAGTCCAACCGAGTGGCGTAAGACGTGCGATGGGATCGCCAGGACGACCTGCAATTTCTGTAATACAGCGATGAAGTTCTGGAACATTGAGACCGATTAGAATATCTATATGAGAACCTGCGACTTCCGGAAAGTTAATACCACTAAGATGTGGCCAATTCGATGCCTTTTTTGACCAGTCTATTACAGGCATGTTTCCTGTTACGCTATTCACAGTAAATGCACTAAATGTCACACAAAGCGATTTATCATAGCTCATTAAATTAACTTTGACATGAGTTGTATTAAGTTTATTAGTACGCCCACCTAACACTGATACATTAAGTTGCTTGAATTCCCCTTGAAGACCGAGTTCCGACGAAAGTTCGAACTCTTCGTTTCTGCCGTTATCTTGAAGACTGATGATGGCTAATTCTAATTTATCAGCGAACTCTTCTATACTTTTTAAATCGGGACTAACCGGTTTCATTTGACGGATTGTATCTAAATGCATAAGAATACCCCGACGCTCACCTCTGAATTTATCTTCAAGGCGTTTCTTGGCTGCTTCATAACCTACCTCTGATGCTGGAAAACCTTCAATAGTTTTAAGTGCATAGCCTTCTAAACATTGACGAAGTTGTAACATCTTATACGCTGGACTGCAGGTTGTTTTATCTATACACTCAAAAAACGCATCTTTAAAAATCTGATAAAGTTTTTTATCACCCGAGAATTTAGGCACTGTGACTCTCTGTAAATGATGATACATGTCCTTATCAATCTGCTGAGAATTATTAACCATTGATGCGCTATTAACAAATTGTTGACTATTCGATGACGCTCGATCTTTTGGCGAATTCTTATCCTGGGGTACTGGGTCAGGCTCTGGTGAAGAAATATTTTGAATCGGAGTGCTAGCTTCACTGTTATTGACACGACTTGGTCCTGTATCACTTGGTGGCATAATCGGAGTTGTCTCTCTTGAACCAGCAATAATCGGCCTAACCGAACTCGGTACTTTCGACAATACATTTGTGTCTCTTTCAACAACATTGATAACCGAGGGGTCATTCTGAACAGAGTCTAATTCTACATCATATTTATTTTCGTCAATGTCACAGAGAATTAATAAAAGGTCAATAACGTTTTCTTGGGATGACAAAACCTGTCCTAGGGCGCTACGAATACGACGGCTAGATTCAATTTCTGATTCGACTTCTGAACATAATAATGCAGTCAAATTAATTCTGGCCTTTGTTAATTGTGTTTTCAACTTACGTTTCTTCTTCAATAATTCTTCTAATCTATTATCGCTATTATTACTAGTATCTTGACTTGTATTAACTGTCGCTTGGGGTGAGCGCGACTGGTTTCGCGCCATTATATCACGAGTGTCTGTATCTGACATTTTCTATGTTGACGTTCGATGACTATTTTCGATCTTACTTACGATTAACTAACCATGCTCTGCTACCAAAAATATGTTCGATACGATGCCAGAGGAATAACGAAACGATGTATATCTATAATTTTAATGGATCTTCACATCTTGTACAATTAATGATGTAAATAAACGATGTCAATCAAAACAACGATGTAAGGCAAACAGCCATTTGCCCCCGAACTCTTCACGACCTCTAGCGGACACTAAAGGAACTAAAAGCTATTCAGAGTTACCTCCAATTAACTACTTTGGATAATATAATTACTATGACTATCTCATTTCGAACAGTCGTAGCATGGGTCTTCTGTGGAAAGCAGGTCTCCAACAAACCGGTCACTACATCCTATGTATGACCCATTTATTCTTTTCTTACTACATATCTTAACAGAGTGTGATCGTCTAGAATTTGTAATTGTTCATTGACTTTTTAAATGTCCTTTTCACGTTGTGTATTCTCTTCTTCTTAACCAAGTGAGTAGTTAAAACGTTTGTCTTCTCAGTTAGTTAGGATGTTTGTTTTACCAGGAATAACAATGCAACAGTTCGTTTTTACATTTTATATATCATAGCCAGATACATAGATACAAGCATAGTATAGATTATATACTAAAGTCATTCTCTCAAACTTCATCCAGCCAGACTCGCCAGGCGAGTCTGCTGATAGAAACTGCTACATCATATGGTCTAGGAACTCAGATGGTAATCTCTCCGGAATCTAATGAAAATCTGACTTAAAAGTTTGCCATGATTTCTTTTAAAGGACCTTTGGACATCACGCACAGACTAGGCTATTCATGACCCTGAACCTGTGCAATTACTGATATGATTGGTTACTTAAGTCAAATGATGCAATTAGTAAATTTCCAATTATGTGTATAATACATGATATTCTCATTCTCACAGAACTAGCTAATGTTTACCAAATTATAACCCTTTTTTATATAAAAATATGTCATTCATTCAACTGGCGGACAGCAATCGCCAAAAAAATACTATTAACTTTTTTAATAAATGTGTTTTATATATTATGCAGAATAAGTGGAATGCACCCCTGCTTAAAGTAACATCAGCTGAATCTGATATCAAGTTTAATGACGTACATTTTGGATATGTCAAAGGTCAGAAGATATTAGATGGTTTAACATTTACTGTTCCCTCCGGGAAAAAAGTAGCTATTGTTGGTGGCAGTGGTTCAGGGTAAGACATTTTCATAAAAAATAAAAAGTATTGTTTGAGGTATAAATTTATGTCAGGACTGAAAAACAGTAAGTTGCCATTTAAAGGGAATTGTATCATTGTAAGTGGTAACCGGGTACTGTTTTTTATACACTCACATTCTAGTGTGGACGTATGTTTTTGTCTCTCCTGCCCGTCTAAGGCGTCCGTTGATCCACACTTTGTTTGTGGCTACTCTAGATCTACAGGTGATAATTTTTATCAGATTTTGACGAAACTTGAAATATAGGTTTATATCCTAAAGATCTTGTTACTTTCAATATTGGTAGGGGTGGGCAAATGACGTCAACATATATTGATATGCCACGTGATAGGTGTTTTCTAAGGCCATTTTGGCTGCTGAATCTGAATTCTATGAGATTTTTGGTGAATGACGTCATTTTAGGTTGGTTCAGAGGCCATTTCCAAAATGGCCATCAAAAATTGAAACCAGTCGTCTAATATGTTCAAATGTATGATTTTATAGGTCAGGGATACCGAATAAGACAAACTTAGATACAGAGGAATGATGATTATACAACAATAGTGCTTTTTGACGTTTGTTTTCTGAAAAAAATATGCATTTTTGATCAGATAATTGTCCATAATTTGTTCATATGATCTGTGATGTTGGGTTATTCTATAACAAATTTCTTTATACTGAATTGGAATCTTCTTAGACCATAAATATTTCAATGAAAGTCAAGGCATGGTGATGGTGGTCAGCTTATATTAAGAAGTTGACTATATAGAGTTTAAAACTGGATGTGGAGGTCAAAACTATTCACAATGTGGCTCTAGTCTGGTGAGGTGGATCGCTCCCAAAGGAGTGATCTGAACTCCTCCAGGGAGGTGGCTGACACTACTCTTGCTGGGAGCTAGTTCCAGTCTGGGGAAGAATAAGTTGTTGTAGGTGTCATCTTTTATTTTCTCCTGGTAGAATCTGTGTTGGCCTCGAGTGAGGTATATCGACTAAGTCGTGCTGAATTTTATAAAATAGTATCCTCTTCTTGTTCTTTGGAGCAATACGAATGACTGTACATTTGTATGGCTTGAAGGACATCTGTCAGGTATTTGCCCATGTCTTTAATGCAGTGAGATCTTTCTGGAGAAGGTCTGAGTCTGTCTAGTTTCCCACTACCAGAGACTGTCATCAGCAAAAAGCTTGGACTGGAACAATTATGGATTCTGGAATGTCGTTGATGAAGGCTATGGACCAATACAAACACAGTGCCCTGTGGAACTCCTGGGGTGACCTGCGATGTGTCAGATGTTGCTCCACCGAGTACGACTTGTTGGTGTCTGTTGCTGAGGAAGGATCTGGTCCACTTCAGTGAGTTGCCTCTTACTCCGTAATGTTCAAGCTTATGAAGGAACCTTTCATAGGGCACTTTGTCAAATGCGTTGGCAAAGTCAAGGAGTATGACATACACTTGTTTTCCCTTGGCTACGGATGAGGCTATTTCCTGTATAGTAGAGATCAGTTGTGTCTCACAGGAGCAATGCTTTCTGAAACCATGCTGACAATCACAGTAGAAGTGCTGTATTATGTTGCAATGCAATATATGCTCCAGTATCTTGCAAGTGATGTGGGTAAGTGACACTGACCTGTAGTTGGCTGGTTGATGTCTGTCGCCCTTCTTGAATTTTGGCACTACCAAAGCTTCCTTCCAATCCTTGGGGACTATGAGTCGAGTGACACCTGAAAGAGTTGTGTAAGGGAAGGTGCTAATTCGGTGGTTATGGCTTTGAGAATGAAGGAGGGGCTGTGCCTGGTCCAGTTGCATAATAGGGCTTCAGATTCATCAGAAGTTTCAAGTGTGTGTACACCTTTCCAATCAAGTTTGATGGATGCCATGGTGGGAACACTGCTTGATCCTATGTCTGGGATGGTTGTTTTATTCTCTGCAGTGAAAGCAAATTCAAACTGTGAATTCAGTATGTTGGCTCTTGACCGGGTGTCACTCTGTATGAATCCATCCTTGTTTTTGAGTGGCGCTACTCCAGTGACTTCTTGGCCTTTATTCTTGATGTAAGTCCAGAATTTCTTGGGAGTCTTCCTAAGTCATTTTATATGCTAGATTCTAGATAAACTAAGCCTCAACTACCTTATGTATATCCTTCTCCCGTGGCCCTCTACTACAGAAACTATATTTCATAGAGGTGACCAACAACCCTTCTATTTAATCTGAATACAATCCACCACTCATCATTATCACCGATTTCACGATCCAAAAGAATTGGACCACCAAGCTACGTAATTACTCTTTTTAACTCTATACTCCGCTATTCATGCAACCTTGAGTCCGATCGTAGCAAACTCCTTACGTATTCTAGTCTTTTATTCCTCCTCTGCACGTTTGAAGACTAGGAGGTTCCGGATGACCGAGACTATACGTATTCACTTTTCATCAACTTATCCCATCAATACAGTAGAAGATGAAACAACCACCGCCTCAGCCATCCTTGAGACCATTATCTACTATTCACTTTAAATCGTTCAATAATTATCATCAATCTTTAAACATTCTTAATAATGAAGCCAATGAAACGGTCTGTTACGGTGAGCTAGGCATGTTTTTCACGGAACTGTGGGTAATCCACTAGTAACATCAATGCTGAATGGTTAATCAAATGTCTGACGTCATAGGGTCATAAGTTAGTCTTTTGACCCCTGATGTGACCTATCGCTATAACTTGTCAGATCTTCATGTAGTGTAGGCCATCGAAAGTATAAAAAAACGAAACAAAATATAGATCTGTATTTTAATCAGATTGTCTACAAGTCTGTCGTGTATTCTGTTGATTTTATTCTTTAATTTTATTTTACTACTTGGCCCCGCCGGTATCATCTTTTGATCCAGTCTCCACGCAGATGTACATAAATAAATTTAAAAATCCTGTGATGTCACCACCATTATTGTATATAAGGCGTCACAGGATCATTATAATTTAATCTTGATAAAGGGTATTGCACCCGAAACGTCGACCCATTAAACGATCTTCTACTTCTACAAGTCTGTTGTGTATTCTGTTGAGCGGGGATTCTTTAATTTTAATATAAATTGATACACAGTGTTTAAGGTCATGAGACAAACAATCAAATCACTTGATGTTTAACGATTTACAATAATTACTGCCAGATTTATGGCCCTTGATCACTTTGGAAAATCTTGTGGTTGCTCTAAAGGCTAAAGTTAATACTCAAGAGACTTTAAAACTTATAAAAAGTGTTTAATGTCATGAGATGAAGAAGCCTATTGATTTTCAACAATTTCCGAATCTTGTGGACGCACTAGAGGCTAAAGTTAATATAAATTTATACACAGTGTTTAAGGTCATGAGACAAACAATCGATACAAATTCTAATGAATTCAGTGTTGTAAATGTTTTCATTACCTACAAAAGAAAAAGTATGCAACAACCATTGGGGACTGCCCAGGCGACTTAGCTGTTGTAGGCATATTTTTCGTTGCCTGGCAACTTATCTTTCAATTTATTGGGGGACATCAGCCTCTCACTTTTGGCTTGTTTTAAATAATTTTGTTATACAAATATATTCTATAAGGTATGTCTGCATCTAAAACACATCAAAGCAGTTCATAATATTGAAGATATCACTAGGATAATATAATATTTTTATTTTGAAGAAAATCTACCATAGTGAGATTATTATATAGATTTTATGATCCTGATCAGGGAAGTATATCGTTGAATAATCAAGATATATTGAACGTTGATATCAACAGTTTGAGAAAATCTATTGGTGTTGTACCTCAGGTAAATTCTTCCATAATTACTTTTATTTTCATACACCCACATTTTCATGTGGACGTATATTGTTGTCACCCCAGTCCGTTGATAATTTGGACCATAACTTCATTGATTATAGCCCCTGATTGTACGAAAAATCAAGTTTTTAATGATGATTTAGTTCAAATTTTGTGAATATTGAACCAAAACTGACGAACAAAATGGCCGCCCCTCGTACACAATTAGTGTAAATATATGGTATATCAAGGTTGTGGACCCTCTAGAGAACATGATTTTGGTCCGATTTTGATGACACTTAAAATACATGTTTATAACCCAAAGATCTTGATTCCTTTTGATATTCACGTATATGGGATCGTAACTACCTGAATTATGGCCCTTGAAATGTATGTTTATAACCCAAAGATCTTGGTTTCTTTCGATATTCGCGCATATCGAATTGTAACTTCATGAATTATTGCCCCGGATTGTACGAAAATCGCGTTTTTAGCTTGTGGTTCCTCTATAGGTCACAATTATTATTCGATTTAAAAAAACGTTTAAATATATCACCGTTACACCGTAATTATGGTTGAGTTCGAATTTCATCTGGTATATCAAAGTTGTGGACCCTCTAGAGGTCACAATTTTGATCCGATTTTGATGAAACGTGTGAATATATCACCATTACACACTAGAAAAAGGTTCCTTTTGTTAAACGCGGATATCTGAACTTAACTTCCTGGATTTTGGCCCCTGATTGTTTGAACCAGCAGCTGCCAGGCCATAATTCAGGAAATTACAATTCGAAATACGCACATATCAATAGGAACCGAGATCTTTGTGTTATAAACTTACATTTCAAGTTTCAACAAAATCGGATAAAAATGGTGACCTCTATAGGGTCCACAACCTTGATATACCACATTTTTACGCTATTTGAGAACGAGGGGCGGCCATTTTATCTGTCAGTTTTGGGCCGATTTTCACGAAATTTGAACTCAGCCGTCCTTAGGGTGTAGCGGTGATATAATAATACGTTTTTTTAAATCGGATAAACATTATGACCTCTATAGGGTCCACAAGCTAAAAACGCAATTTTTCGTACAATCAGGGGCCATAATTCAGGAAGTTACGGTCCGATATGCGCGAATATCGAAAGCAACCAAGATCTTTTGGTTATAAACTTAAATTTCAAGTTTCAACAAAATCGGATAAAAATTGTGACCTCTATAGGGTCCACAACCTTTATATACCACATTTTTACGCTATTTGAGAATGAGGGGCGTCCATTTTATCTATCAGTTTTGGGCTGATTTTCACGAAATTCGAACTCAGCCGTCCTTAGGGTGTAACGGTGATATAATAATACGTTTTTTATACGCCCACATTGAAATGTGGACGTATATTGTCGTCGCCCCCGTCCGTCCGTCCGTCCGGTGTCCACAATTGCTTGTTTAAGGTCATGAGACGAAGAAGTCTATTGATTTTCAGCGATTTCCGATAATTACTGCCAGAGTTATGGCCCTTGATCACTTCAAAAAATCTTGTGGACGCTCTAGAGGCCAAAGTTAATATCCGATTGACTTTAAATTTATACACAGTGTTTAAGGTCATGAGACGAAGAATCCTATTGATTTTCAGCAATTTACGATAATTACTGCCAGAGTTCTGGCCCTTTATCACTTTGAAAAATCTTGTGGACGCTCTAGAGTCTAAAGTTAATATCCGATTGACTTTAAATTTTATACACAGTGTTTAAGGTCATGAGACGAAGAAGTCTATTCATTTTCAGTGATTTTCGATAATTACTGCCAGAGTTATGGCCCTTGATCACTTCAAAAAACCTTGTGGATGCTCTAAAGGCTCAAGTTAATATCTGATTGACTTTATACACAGTGTTTGAGGTCTCGAGGCGAAGAACCCTATTGATTTTCAAAGATTTCTGATAATTACTGCCAAAGTTATGGCCCTTGATCACTTTGAAAAATCTTGTGGACGCTCTAGAGGCCAAAGTTAATATCCGATTGACTTCAGATTGATACACAGAGTTTAAGATCTTGAGACGAACAAGTATATTGATTTTCAATGAATTTTTATGACTTGGAACAGCTAAATCCATGATACAGTATTAAAAGTTTTCTATACAAAACGTTAGCATGGGGAAGAACTTTATAAAAACCAAATAAATTCTAATGGTTTTCTGAGTTGTTGCTCTTAATCAGATTTTAGTGTATTATAAATGTTTCATTACCGAAAAAAGTAAAAATATGTTTTGTTGCCTGGCAACCTATCTTTTAAATCGGATAAACATTATGACCGCTATAGGGGTCCACAAGCTAAAAACGCAATTTTTCGTACAATCAGGGCCCATAATTCAGGAAGTTACGTTCCGATATGCGCGAATATCGAAAGGAACCCAGATCTTTGGGTTATAAGCATACATTTCAAGTTTAAACCAAATCGGATAAAAATTGTGACCTCTACAGTGTTCACAAGCTAAAAACATGATTTTTCGTACAATCAGGGGCCATAATCCATGAAGTTACAGTCTGATACATGCCAATATCAAAAGGAACCGAGATCTTAGGGTGATAAACCTATATTTCAAATTTCGTTGAAATCGTATAAAAATTGTGACCTGTAGACTGTTCACAAACAATTGTGGACGGACGGACAGGGGCGACGACAATATACGTCCACGTGAAAATGTGGGCGTATAAAAAGTGATTTTTCGTACAATCAGGGGCCATAATCCATGAAGTTACAGTCCGATACATGATAAACCTATGTTTCAAGTTTCATTGAAATCGGATAAAAATTGTGACCTGTAGACTGTTCACAAACAACAGACAGGGGCGACGACAATATACGTCCACATGAAGAGGTATAAAGAGGTCACAATTTTTTCCGATTTTAAAAACTGTTTAAATACATTACCATTCCACCATAATGAAGGTTGATTTTGATTTCGGGAAAATTGAAATGAAACTGCCATAACTTTCTGGATTATTGCCCCTAATTGTACAAAAAATCGCGTTTGTTTTAGCCTGTTCTCTATCCATCTCTTGCAAAATGTGGGTGTATCCTGCCTGGCAGCCGCTGGTTTAAATATGTAAAACGAAAAAGCCTATCAAATTTCAGCAATTTCTGTTTATAGCTTCTAGAGGTATGGTCCTTGTTTCACTAAAGTTTTCATCTGATCTGTATAAAATTAACATGTATTCTTTACCATAGCAATAACTTCTAGAGTTATTGCCCTTGTTTCACTTTTGAAGAAACCTGGGGACTATTCAAATGTGTCTGTCCGTCCGTCCGACTTTTTGGGACACAATAACTCTCCTAATAGAGCTAGAATGTTCAAATTTGGTGTAAGTGTGTAACCGGGTCTAATTCAAGCAAAAGACGAGGCTGTTTAAATCTTTATTAAAAACCCTGTAAAAATATACATACATAGAATTAACATCACCAACATTTAATTTATAATACATATAATACACTTTAAAACACATCAAACATTACACTGTATTAAAATATATATACTATATATATTTAATTCTATACTCATATCTTTACAGTAATAATTTCTATAATATCTCTAATTATTAGATAATACCTATATAAAAAAACATACCCTAGAAGGGGTTTTAAAGATTTTTGTGTTGAAACAACACAACCATGTAACACTCTAGCAGCTAGAAGGTATCCTATATAAACAAATGATTCTATTATTATTCTATGCTAAAACTAAACTTAAACTAAACCTAATTACTAAATGTTAATACTTATCGCTTAAGAGCTGTTGAATATGTATAAAATGTATTTTACTGTGGATGTAAAGAATTATATATGAAATAACTAATTTACACATCTTACATTCACCACATCCCCAGACAATACCAATGATATTCAAATACACATACCTTAATTCGATCAATGAAGACTTGACCAAAAGAATCTTCAGTAACTGGAACAACTTATAAAACTTTGAGCGCAAATACAAATTTAAGATTTAGAAGATAATCTTATACATCTGACACATTCAAAATCCTAAGTTAAACTGATTTCAATTGTTACCCCTGTAACCCAGGAAGTTGGGTTTGTTAGGAAAAGTATCCAAGGAGATGATGAGGTGATAGTCACTGATGTTGTTACAAAGACCTGTCCAGAAGCTGAACATCCAGTGACTACGAATATAAGGGTTCAAAGATCAGATGAAAGTGAAAGTTTGTTATTGTTTATTAACACTGAGAAGTAGTAAAGGTGAGATTTGTACGTTTAGGGCATAGATATCTCCCGGTTTGGTAAATTTCTATGAATATCGGTAAAATTCTAATTATCGCAACAAATCTAATACGAAGAGGCTAAAATCTGTAGGTACGGTGTGTTAATTAACCGTGCGATTTCTTGTTCGACAGTGTTTTATGCAGATCGGTCTTTGTTAAGTGTAGGTCTTTATACATGGATTTATACGTCCTGTAGTTACATTTGTTCGTTCTTATACGTATTTCATTTCTTGGTGAATACTACATGTTTTATACTTCGTACCATAGTCGGGCTGCAATTATTTATATATTTGTCTTTTTTGTGGGTTTAATTTGTTTAAATATTATCGTGCGTACCACTGAAGTATAAATGCACGTTATTTACCGATAACCGGACCAGCCTCCATTGATATCAGACTAACGAATCTGTTTCGAAAAGCAAGTTTATATAAAATCGAGCAATTGTTGAAAAAGTATTGGTTTCGTCATGTCTATATTTACTACACGTGGGCGTTTTAATGCATAAATGTAATTTTTCTTACCTGGGGTGTAAAAAGGACTATCCAAGAAAAATTTAATTTCCACATATATAACAAATGATAATTCACATATCAAATAAGTTAACACTAATGCAAATAGGGACATGCACCGGCGGTGATATTGTCCATTGACCTTTGACTTAATATGGAAATAGAGGCTTTACAAGAACAGCTAAATTTAAACACTTGTTAATATTTCTATTGTTTACGATTGTATGAAATA